CCCCCCCCCCCAAATCCATCCATTCCATCTCATCTATCCATGATTCCATGATCTCTACTGGAAGAGTGCATGTGACATGGAGCCCCATGTACCTCCTGATACATGAGGTAGGGACATGGGGCTCCACGTCAAGCGCATACATTGGGCTATTGTGAATGACGACTTATGTATCACCTGATGCATGCAGCTCCAAGTCAAGTATTCTCCAGTACACGGGGGCCCTCGGTCGTCCACCATGTTCCTGTTTTTTTTTTTTTTTTTTAATTACCAGATGTTGTAATCTGGTCTTGTAGGCAATGACACTTTGAGGAAAATGAAGAGGAAGAGGAAGAGGGAAGAATGTTTAGGGAAGGTGAGGGGAAGAGAGGGGAAAGAGAAAAGAAGAAAAAAGAAAATGAAAGGAAAGAAAAAAAAAAGGAAAAAAAGAAGAAGAAGAAAAAGGCAACGTACAACTGCCAAGATGCCGAGGACACGGATCCAACCCTCAGAAACATCAGCTGGAGTGAATAACAACCCTGTGAAAACAACAGTGACCAAACCGTCAGCAGCTTCATTTATTTCCTAATCTGTTTGACGGAACTTCGACCGTTCCCGTTCTCCATTATTTTTCCCATGTTTCTAGACTTTGCAAGGAGATAATATTATCATAATAATCCTTTGAGATAATCCTCCTTTCACTTTTTGCTTCTATTGGCTTTTTGTTTTGTTGTTGTTACTGTTGTTGTTGTTGTTTCCATGAAGAGAACGACAACAACGTGTTTTTCATGCAGCTCATTTAGCTCGAAAACGTTTTCCGTCCAGGTATCTCCACGCAATTACGCGACCATTGATCGTTATTATCTTCTAAACAACTTGTTCGCCCTTGACGTTTTGCGCCTCTTCAAGTAGAAGCGCAAGGCTTAAAACAATAACAATAAAAAAATTGAAAAATAAATATAAAAAGGGAGGAAAAGTTGGAAAACAAGAAAGCGCAAGGCTTGATGCTTTATCGATAATGTTTATTGATAATGTTCGAGGTTGATTTGGGACTGTGAACTCAGCAAGTTGTTGGCCATGTCCCTAACCGCGTTTTTGATGGATGCCGCCTGGCAAACTCCAGCTTGAGTCTGCATTGTGAATTTAGCACGACTGTGTTCCCGCAGCACCATTCCTTCTCACTTACCTTTTTTTTTTTTCTGTTCTCCTTGAGCTATCTTAGGATGATTTTTTTTTTAACACGAGATTTCTGTTCTCCTTGGGCTTATCTTAGGATGATTTGTTTTTTTTTTACACGAGATTTCTGTTCTCCTTAAGCTTACCTTAGGATGAGCTTCTCGCATTTCATGTGATATCCTGCCTGCCGTAGGACAGGTGGGGGGTAAAATAATAATAATAATAATAATAATAATAATAATAATAATAATAAATAAAAAAAAATTATCAAATGTTAAGACGTAACATTTCCGAACCTCTACTCGAGCGAAATATCCCTTCTTGGATTCAGAAAGTGGGCAAGGGCTCTACTATTGAGTACTGTAACTTTCGAACCAAAGTCGCGCTGTAATTTTTGAGTACGGTAACTTTCGAACCAAAGTCGCGCTGTAACTTTTGAGTACGGTACTTTCGAACCAAAGTCGCACTGTAACTTTTGAGTACGGTAACTTTCGAACCAAAGTCGCMCTGTAACTTTTGAGTACGGTAACTTTCGAACCAAAGTCGCGCTGTAACTTTTGAGTACGGTAACTTTCGAACCAAAGTCGCGCTGTAACTTTTGAGTATGGTAACTTTTGAACCAAAGTCGCGCTGTAACTTTTGAGTATGGTAACTTTTGAACCAAAGTCACGCTGTAACTTTTGAGTACGGTAACTTTCGAACCAAAGTGGGCGAGGGCTCTACTATTGAGCAATATTACCACAGCCTGACATGGTACTGTAACTTACTGCAGCACTGTTTGGAACCAAAGTTGGGCTGTGGTAATATTGCTTCGGTGTGGATGTGGATGTAGCGATGGCATGATTATACAATCTTCCTGTATGTTGACGATTTAGCAAACCAATGCCTTCAGACGCTCAGCCATACCTCGCGGGAAAAAAACGTGATTTGGACCCACCAATTTCCGGCATGCATTGCTTCGATGTGGACGTGGCAATGACATGACACAATCTTGCTGTATGTTGATGATTTAGAAAACCAATGATTTAGCAAACCAATTTTCAGCCACTCAGCCATAACTCCCGGGACAAACGGGATTTGAACCCGGAACTTCCGACGGGACAGACTGAACCAAACTGAACAGTTGCTTGGGGGAGGATTTCGTCGCGTTAAAAGACGATATTCTTTGCGAATTGTCTGAAATTGTTCATTCTTTTTTTGGTCTCAGGTGATAAATGGTTCGACTGCATAGCAAGCAAGAGATTCGCAGCGCGATTGCTCGAAGCTATTGTCCTTTATTTTTTTTATTTATTTTTTTGCTTAGAATCGTTAGTGGGCACTCGGATCTTCGTTTCTTGACGGAGATTATTTTTTATTTTACTTCATTTTTTGCTTAGAATAGTTAGTGGGCACTTGGAACTTCGTTTCTAGACGCAGATTGGCCTCAGATCTACTTGAACTTGAAACGTCTTGAATTCCAGTTTGAATTTGACTCAACCTGACTAGTAGTTAAGTTCACGGTAACCTGCTGGACGTCTGGACCGGCACCCAGACAGTCGGGAACAAATGTGTAGGGGTCCGGTGTCCGGTCCAGGATGTATGGAAACACCCCCTCAAACAAAAAATCAACCAAAAAAAAAGGGGCTTCCCAGGACGTTTTTAGGGTCCTGGGCGCCCCCCAAAAAATACCAGGACCATTTTTCTGCCTCTTTTCGGCCTACCGGACAGGGCCTACAGATCCAGACACAGTCACAGCTCACAGAGCTGTTTGAGGTTGGGTGGGAGGCGGGAGGGCGGCGGAATTTCGAATCGGCCGTTTTCGAAGTCCTGCGCGCTGCTGCTGTCCGTTTGGAAGTCCCACCCCCTACCTGGCAAACGGCGCAACACATCCCACTGGAGAGAGAGAGAGAGAGAGAGAGAGAGAGAGAGAGAGAGAGAGAGAGAGAGAGAGAGAGAGAGAGAGAGAGAGAGAGAGAGTGCTGACAGCACTCCCAGTCTGAAGACTCTGAAGTTCTGAACGGAACTTTTCAAAGGAACTTCAAAGTTCAAAGTTCAAACTTATAAGTTATATGACGACTCTGTTTGAGGGCATACTCACACTAGCACGTACAATCGCAAATTATATGTGAGCCATTTTGGAATAATACGGCACTTCCCAGTCACACAGCACACCCGTATACGCCACAAAACAGAAAGGACACGGTCTCGACCTGCTCTAGTAATGCGATTATAAGGGCCGAGGGGTCACACAGCACGATGCATAAAAATCCATCCCTTTTCCCTGTTTTTTTTTTCCTTCTTTTCTTACGAGAGCTGCTCACCAAACGTCGAATTCTTTTCTTTTATTTCCAGAAAGAAACACGTCTAAAAAAAAAGCGCAATTGCGAGGACCTCCAGAGGTTGCTGCAAAATACGTAAACTCGCGGCTGTCCAAGCCGCTGATATTTACGTGCCCATTTGCGCGCACGAAAATGCAAAATACGTAGCCCTTGTGACCCAGAAAGACACCTATAATTTGCAAAAAATGCGTGCAAGTGTGACTATGCCCTGAGTCTGTTTTCTACTCTTTTGAACTTTGAAGTTCTTTTTTTTCTTTGTTTCTTGCGTCTTTCACCAGCTTTGCACTGTCTACAACTTCGCATGTCTGTTAGTTGAATGTACTTTTTTCTTGGTTTGCTGCAAGACAGGTGCTCCACTGTTTGAACTCCAAAGTGCAGAGCCGGTGAGTGTCTGCT